GATCACCGCAAAATAGTTTTTCTTACATATTAGATCTTCTAGGAAAATCCATAAATAATCCTATGGTACAACTCTACATGAAAAGATTTCCCTATTACGATATAATTTCTGATGATGAAAGGAACACAATTGCATTTAGACTGGACAAAAATACTACGTATACACCAGAAGAATTAATTGCACAAATTTTGCACAAGGGAAAAGAATTTGCAGAAAATTCAGCTGGTCAAAAGATCACTGAAGCAGTGATAACTGTTCCAGGATATTTTAATCAAATTGAAAGAAGATCACTTATGCAAGCAGCAGATCTAGCTGGAATTAAAGTTCTACAACTTATTAACGATTATACTGCCATTGCATTGAATTATGGAATTTTTCGAAGTAAAGAAATAAATGACACTGCCCATTACGTGATGTTCTATGACATGGGAGCCAGTAGTACAACTGCAACTGTTGTCAGTTATCAGAATGTGAAAACAAAGGAGAAGGGATTTGTTGAAACCAATCCACACGTCACTGTTCTAGGTGTGGGTTATGATCGTACTTTGGGAGGGCTAGAAGTGCAACTTAGATTGCAGCATCACTTGGCAAAAGAATTTGATGCTTTAAATAAAACATCAACTTCTGTATTTACTAACCCACGAGCAATGGCAAAACTTTTTAAAGAAGCTGGGCGTGTTAAAAATGTTCTGAGTGCAAATACCGATCATTATGCTCAAATTGAGGGACTGGTAGATGAACATGATTTCAAAGTGCAAGTTTCCAGAGAAAAGGTAGAACAACTTTGTTCAGATTTATTTGAGCGAGTTGCTGATCCCGTTAAGATTGCTTTAAAAACATCAGGTATTAAGAAAGAATTGAAATTTTACTTAAATTTACGCGTAAATATTGTTTCTATATGATCATTCTAAATTGATTATATAAATCTTTTAGGTTTAACATTAGATGTTATATCTCAAGTAGTATTGGTAGGAGCAGGAACCAGAATGCCAAAGATACAGGAACATTTAAGTCAGTATTTAACAGTTGAACTCTCCAAAAATATCAACATGGATGAGGCAGCTGCATTAGGAGCAGTGTATAAAGCTGCAGAGCTTAGTAAAGGTTTCAAAGTAAAGAAGTTCGTTACCAAAGATGCAGTACTATTTCCCATACAAATCACTTTCGACAGAATTGTCGATAATAAAGTAAAACTAGTAAGCTTTTGTTTTTATATTCTGTGTTACTGAATAATCTTTGCAGATACAGGTCAACATTTTTACAAAAAATATGTTATATTGTAGATTAAAAAGTCATTGTTTAGCAAAATGAATCCTTACCCACAAAAAAAGATCATCACATTTAATAAATATGCAGAAAATTTCCAATTCCATATTAATTATGCTGAACTGGACTATTTACCTGCTAATGAAGTTGCGTAAGTATTTGATACAGTTATTGTTTGCTACATAATATTTGTATTTATTAACATTGGATTTCTACTATTTTAGTGCTATTGGTAACTTAAATATATCCACTATAACTTTAACTGGAGTAGCCGAAGCTCTGGACAAACACACTAAAGATGGAGCAGAAAGCAAGGGCATTAAAGCACATTTTGCTATGGATGAGAGTGGTATACTTAATTTGGTGAATGTAGAACTGGTATCAGAAAAGTCAAGCCCAACACCTGACGAAGAAGAGGGTACTTTCTCAATACTTGGCTCAACTATTAGTAAACTTTTTGCAGGTTTGTGCTGAATGCTTTGCAAAAAATGATACATTGTTTGACTAATTTGGGTTTTATTAAACAATAATTTCTTGTTTTTTATGATAAATTTTATTAGTATGTTCTGCAGATGGTTAATCAAGAAAACATGCTACTGTATTGAAACATGCAGTAGCTTGGAAATTATGAATAAACTTGTAGAATCGATTTTTTGCAAGCATTTATAAATAAAATATCAAATATAATAATGCAGAAACAAATTAAATTACACTTTTAAAAAAAAGTGAATTACTCCTTTTTTTATATGACATTTTGTTTACTTTTTCTCTCATTGTTTTTTATGAAAATTTACATTATGCAATTTTTTAATTTCAGGTTCCGAAGATAAAGATAAAGAAGCGAAAGTCGTCGAAAATTTGAAGGAAGATGTAAAACCAGTTCATGAGGAATCGGAGTACCCTGAAATGCAAAAAGAAGCAGATGATAAGACTAAGAAAAAAAATGAAAGTACAGTCACCGAGGATAAAGTGGCAAATAAAACTGAGAAAACGGAGAAAGAAAAAAAAGCTACGATTGTAACGATTAAAGAACCTATTAAAGCCATTGAAGACAAATTAGGACCACAGATCCTTTCTGGAGATAAACTTACCGTTTCTCGCGAAAAGTAAGTAAATAAAAGTAATTACATAATTGTTTTGTATGTATAGGAAGTACACCGTTTACATTCTAATGAGAATATTACATGACAATTATAGATTACATCAGTTAGATGTATATGATTTCGAGAAAATGAAACGTGAAACAGCTTTAAACAATTTAGAAACATTTATTATTGACGCTCAACAAAGATTAGAATCTGAAGAATATGCTGCTGCAGCTACTGCTCAAGAAGCAGAAAATATATTAAAAGCGTGTTCTGAAATTTCTGATTGGTTGTACGAAGATGGATTTACCGCAACTGCAGAAGTATACGAACAAAAATTATCAGAACTTCATAAAATGACCAAGGATATGTATGAACGTGTCTATGAACACAGAGAACGCCCAGAAGTATTGAAAGGCATGACATCCGCATTGAATGCAAGTAAAACACTTTTGAACAATATGCGTAATTTGAGTTTAACAGGCGATAATTACATTCAAGTAAAGCTTGATCAATTAGAGAAAGTAATCAAGGAAACTCAGGTAAATTATTGTCTTTACGTTTAAAAGCAATTTATTTAATTTTTGTCTTTTTTATTTAACGATCGCATAATGTTTAATTACTTTAATTTATAGGAATATTATGACAACGTTGTGAAATCTTTCGCTGGGACGTCTTTGCACGATCCTGTGAAATATAAAGTTCGGGACATTGCAAATACAATGGCTGTGCTCGATAGAGAAGTGAAGTATGTTATAAACAAATTAAAAGTTTGGACACCAAATCAAGAGGCTACTACGAATCAGACAGAGAGCACAAACGAAAACGCAACAGAGACAAAAGAAGGACCGGAATCAGAGACTATTCCTAAATCAGCTAGTGATTCTGAAACTGTGAAACTTCCGGAAGAAAGTACAGCCGATGAATCAAGTACACACACACAAAAGCCAGTAGAGTTGAATACCTCGGAAGATTCGATTGTAATACCAGAAAATAACGAAGATCGATCGAGTCACAAAAGTACTCAAGAGGAAGAGGCACACCAAGAACTTTAAAAAAAAGTTTACGTAAAAACGTGTGACTTTTGTTATTGATCGATCCCGTTTCGGTTAATAAGTTAGGCAATTTATTATGTTGTAAGATAGGTTTATAAATGTATTTATAAACCTAAATCAAATTCAAGAAATTGTGTTATCGTGGTTGAATTATTTCGCGAATGTGAATACTGAAGTGTTATCGTATTTAATTGCACATGATTATAAGAATAATTCGTTCGTTCATCATACCAGAAAGTAATAGAACTAGTATCTCGCAGCATTTCGAATACAAAAGTAAAACCGATCATGTATTGTTTATAAAAGATTTGTGCTTTAAGTGCCAAGTAGTTACAGGCTTCAAAGTTCTATCTATATCAAGACAGGCCTGCACATTCTATAAATGTATTTGCTGGACCAGAAATTGCTGATGATTGACAAGTATGCTTAAATCCTGTTGCAGTTGATCTCCATCTGTCATTTTCTGCTGTAACTTCACGTACTCAAAGTTGTTTCTTAGGGACAATGACTGGCGTCAGACATTGTAAGAAGACCAGTTGGCCAGGTCTGATATACATTAATATGAAAATTGCTGAACAATTTTGAAAATAATTGTATAACACACGGTACTACATTTTATAGTCGAATAAATTCCTTATTCGCGTGACGTCGTTATTTACAAGTGATAAAACATTCTACTTGGCCGGACCTCGTCTATTACAAATATAATATTTAATTGTGATACTTCTTGATACTATAGTCTTAGACGTATTCTATGCTATAGCTTAAACAATGATTTTTTACAGATATCTACATCGAGCATAATAATTACACACAACATATATGTCAGTGTTTGTATCATGAGGAGATTAAGATTTTATTCATTTTTTTTTTACATTTCTAATTAATTAATCTTTGCTAAAAAAATGCCTAACTTCGATGCGCTCTATGCATACCCCATTGTGTCATAGATTTAATTTATTTTATGATACAATGGTCATGTATTGAATTTAATGACGAAACACATAGTCTGTAAAGATTTGCACAGAGCAAGGTAAACCAATGTCTGGTAATGTAATTTATTTAAAAAGATTTGCAATTTGCTCGCAAACAATTGCTTCTACTTAAGCATTCGATATGAATTAAATCTAATCATTCCAACGAATACAGATGTAATTTAAAACCTTTCATTATGTTATTTATTATTTTGGGTGAATAAAACAGTGTGTAAGATCTTGATAAAACTAACAAAAATCAATGCAATTTTTAATTTGTACATTTCATGTTAAACTTTATGTTTACAAGAAAAACATGTGTAATTTATTTTATAAACATGTCTTCCTGCAATTAGAACAGCTTTAGGCTGATGAAATAAATTAATTTATAATTGCATATTTATTTTAACATACTATTTAAGACAGCATTAATATTATTATTTATGTATGTTTCATATACGTATTACGAAGAAAATAGACATTTGTATATTTATATACATTATCACTGGGATGTTTTACTTTCATATGGTTTATGTATTTGATAAATAAGTTGTTTTAATATTAGTTGAATGAGACAAATTGAAATTTGAAATTGAAGATAAATTTTATATAGATTTTTTGTATACCTTTGATTTAATGAAAATTAATTATACATTACTTTTACTTTCAATTTTTTTCAATGCATTATTTAGAATTTTGATATTTCGGTTTATACGAATTTCAGGATATCTCCAAATGATCACTGTGTAAATAAATTATTTACAATGATTGCAATAAATTTAAAGAACATATTTTATATTCGTATAAATTATTAATATCTTTAAAATTGAATATATACGATGCATATTCAGTTATGTATGTACATATTTTGAATTTTTCAAAGTAATTCTATATCGTGCAACCAGATAGCTCTGGTGTCGTAGTTAAGTCAAGGGGATGAGTAAAACATCATACATTTTGTAAACAAATACAAAACCATTTATTTCACCGAAACTTCCGCATTATTTTATTTAATTTTTAAATGTACGAAAATAATACGTACTACGATTGCTAATGTGTGAATCAGAACTTACTTTCTGACTTCAAGTAAATCAAATCAGTTACATAGATAGCAGATCATATTTTAAACGTATCATCAATGATTTTGTTTTATAATATTCACGTTTAATTTACAGTGACATTTGTTATAAATCATGTTTCTGTGTCAAGCTTTTCGAACACTGTTGAAGAGAGTTGGTCCTGTTATGGTAAACTTCATTTTAATTAAGAAATATTGCAATCTTATATGATAAAATTAATATAAAACAAATATTATATTTGGAAAAACTGTTTAGAATTTAATTCACGTTAATAAATGTATGTAAAGCATTATTTATAAAATTAATATTATTTTTATTTTACAGTATGCTACAAGTTTTGTGTTTAACAATCACTCTGAAAGTAAGAAACCTATGGCTGATGATAAATTAAATCTTGAACCTCCTGATATTAAAAAATTAACTATTGAATATATGATAGAACAATCCACGATAGATTCTATAAATAATGCAAGTCAAACATTAACTATTACATATATGGCAGTAATGAGAACAAGTACCGAGTATAAGTAAGATTTGTATGTTGCTAGAAATAACAGTTATATTCCCAATAACGGTTAAAACTATTTTTCAGAAATTTGTTAGGTTTATTGATTTCTCTCTTGAGGGATTCTTTGGAATTTAATTGTACCGATGAACATTGGGACTCGATAATTGAAATAAGATCGCAAGTACAGAGTAAAAAGGAAAAATTAAATGTAAGACAAAATAAAAATAAATTTATATCAATGTACTACATTTATAAAAAATATTTAAAAATATACTTTTTCTACCAGAAATTAACAGGTTACATTCAATATGTACAAAATCTGGCAGTAGCAGTTTCAGATCTATGTTATTTATCAGGAATGGACAATTTGTCATTCAGTCTTTCTCAACATCTCGACGATGTATTAAAACGTATAAAAACAGAAGTTGATCTTATTGCAATACTCGAAGAAGAATATTGTGATATACAAGAACAATGCATTAGAAATTGTGAGTACATTATAATCATTAGATTTAAAGCAAATTAAATTTTATAGATGATCTGGTTTGTGATAACCTTTTGTTCTGTTTTAACATTTCAGCAAATAAAACAAATAGTAATGAATCCTCTGATTAATGTGAACAGACGTATCTGTGTGTTCATTGTTTGAAAGATATTTATATCTGTTTATATAATAAATATTTGATATCGAAAATAGAGTATCTTCTCATTTTATTATTTCTATCTTTAATGAACTTATTTGCATTAAATAAACTTTCAAAGCATGAAAGTAACAAATGGGCTATAGAGCGTAACAAAATAAAGGACTGGTTGACGTATAGCTAATTTAAAAGACAGCAAGTGCTCAAGCATCAAGATGTATTGTTACAATGTGTCTACCAGGTATCATTGCCAAACCAAGAGTTCTTGCTTCTGTATGATCCTCGGATAGAAATTCTGAACACGATCCCAAAATCACATTAGCATCACGATCGGTACATAAAAATGCACCCACTAATACTCGACCATCTGTCATTTTTATGCGTAAATTTCGATTCAGCCATCCACGCAATTTTTGCCTTGCAGGGGAGTCCTTTGTACTAACTGCCTATCACAATTGCAGAAATAAGTTTAGACTAATCATATAACTATATCAACATTATTAATAAATACAACAAAAATACTTGACATTCATTAAAATATACATGATTCGGTTAAAAAACCAACAAATTTACAAAGAAAATATTTTTGTTTAAATCCATATTTTGTAATTACTAATCTCACAGCTATATCGATTTCTATTAATATAACAGATGTTTTCTTTGCAATTATAGTTTTGTATAAAAATTGAAAAGTAAGAATTAATTGATATAACACGACACGTCAAAGCAAAAGCTATTACTTGATTAAATATAACTGGACATGGTTAAGAGGTTATATATCTTGTCAATGAAAGTGTACATAACCTTTCGGATAAAATATTCATCGAAGATTACGATACAGAATTATAAACAAGCCTGACCTTATTGCAATCGTGCAAAATACTCAATTATAAAATTACCTCTCCATTTTCATGGACGCAATCGTCGTTCATTACGTTGGATACATTGTGTCCTTCTTTCATGTCTACTATTAAACAGTCAAATATGTAGCGAATATAAGTAATCAATACGATTTGCCAATTAACAGACTTGACAAAATTACTTTTTAAATAAATAATTTTCGAATCGTTTCTCGTGCCACTCTTATGTTTCCGCTGATTCTATCGGAATGCATTTACAACTAAACTTTCTCGGAAGATAATTTTCTTAGTAGAACCAAAACACTCGCGAAGGATGAAGAAAGTGTTGATTTGTAAATACTAAACATTTAAAAAATCAGTGTCGATCAGGATTTCGAACTGTTTTCATCGGTAACAATTTATTTAGAATTATACAATAATTTACAATGTCATGGGATAATAATTTCATAAAAGGTACACATAAAGGGACGATAGCATTGCGAATAAAGCATGAAAACATAAACGAAGTACAGAACGCATATTGCATCTTGTGGAAATTAGTATTACACGAACTGAAGTACCGACTTGGCGGAAAATCAGTGGTTTTTAGCGCTCTCTGTGTTCGAGAATTGTGACTCCGTGAAATAGATTCAATCCAATATGAGGTCGGTACATAATTTTTTTGTTTAATTTACAATGATATTTAAACAAAAATAAACATGCACAAAACTTTCAGTGACTGATGGTTGTTAGCCTTCATTTTAATCGTAAATGACGAAGCAAGAAACATTGAGACATGAATGTAAAATCGAGGAAGGATCATCTGAGACTGAATACTTTGAACTTGTACGACGTTTCAAAATAGTTCAAAATAGGTGATCCAAAATGAAGGTGATCCTGATATCTCGGAGCCATCTCCACCCAGAAAAAAAGTAATTACCGCCACCTTTATCCCCCTTGAAACTGATTATTTTTTGTCTGAACAGTTTCTCAATACGACTTTAAATTTCATAGATAATCGGATCGGTTACCTTATAAGAATCACCCTGTATATCTATCAAGAAAACCGAGGATTTAATTTTGATTGATATCCGACATATTACTCTATCCCAAAAATCGCTTACCAACTCCTGCAAAGTAGCGGTAATTTCATTGTTTTCATTTCAATTCTGTTTTAATTGTTATAAATGTTTTTATCACGTTACAGATAATGGATAATCTACACTAATATTATAAAGAGGAAAAATTGATTGTATGTAGCGAGTATCCTCTGGAACTACCGAACCGATTCTTAACATTTTTTAAGGAATAGGAAGTTACGATATCCTTGAGTAACATAACATATCCACAAAGAGACACAATGGCGAAAGTTCGGTGTCCTTGTGCTTGATATCCTTATTGTTTAAAAAAATATATATATATCCACAAACGTATGGACCATCGATAGAATTCTTGCGGCGAACGAACGCAATTATTATAATTTCGTAATATTTACCCGCAAAACACGCTTCTGAATTTTCTCCCGCGATAATCCAGTGGAGGTCAGTGATAAATAAGAACCCCAGCGAATCGCTCAATTACACGCGAGGGTCGGGACAATTTCGTAACGTTCATGCCTATTATATTTATCTTTGTCGCGATTAAAGCAATAATAAACCGCAACTGGTGGTCATCGTAATCGCGTTGCGCTAATGAAAATGAAAATTCCTATGGACAGATCTTGCAAACAAGGCGATCGATTGAAATTCGAAGAAATAATTGTTTATGTTTAGTTTACTTCTGGGTTTTATTTTTGTTCGTATCGTCTTTTTTTATCAGAGTCCAATTTTTGACATGATAAATGCGGCGTTGGTTAAGTCGTAACGTAATTTTAAACTTTTCTTAGACGACATTTTCTCTACTTTTTCCCTCATTGTTTTCTATGAAAATTTATATTATATAATTTTTTAATTTCAGGTTCTAAATATAAAGATAAAGAAGCGAAAACATAAAAGCCAGTTCACGTGGAATTGGAATACTCTGAAGTAGAAAAAGAAGCAGGAAATGTACTTTTCGTAAAAGATGATCTATCTATAGGGATAGGGTTAGTGGATCTACCGACTCGCGTGTTTTGATCCAGCAAGCGACGATCAGAGAAGTTTGAGAATCACTTCTCCAGTCATCGCGCAACAGGGTTAAGGAGAAGTTCTCCGTACTATTCCTAGATCTGGTAACCTTGACCCGAGGCAATCGAGTGTTGTATGGAAAAATTTGGTTCTAAATTATCGTCATTGTTTTGTACAAATCACCTTTGTTTCGCGTCGCATCGAGTATTTGAAGCAATTCTAAATATTCGTAACGTTGCGATTACGTGCTTGCACAATTATTCTGTTATGTCGCGCTGTGGTCGCTTGTTTGTAATCAAGTTTCGTCAGTAGTACGACGAGATAACGCGCTAGCTAAGCGTCTTTGCGAGTCTTGTGCAAGCCAGCGCGTTATTGTACGGCGTTTCTGGAACGTTGCGAGGAAAGCATCTGTTTTGGAGCAGAAATGGAACGAAGAGAGAACGGTTACCAAGTGTTTTCATACAGTTCGCGAAAGTATTGGAACGCTCGCATCTGTAACCGTTAACAAGCTGTTCTCCTATTAATAATAAACGCACTTTCCTCTCTGCAGGACGGGAGATAAAATCATTAACTGTTGCTCATCGACCGGCACTCGGGCGTAAATAGGGATCCGTTACCACGCTGAAACGCGTTAATTACACGTTTCTGTTTAGTTTATTCGACATCCGTTCGATAATAATACCGAGAGTAAACAAATTTAAATTCGACAGATGCCACGATCTCAGCGAAGCCGTGCTTTCAGCGAGTGGTTGCGACGCGTCGTTCCAATTGGTTCTCCGTTGAATACCATTGAAAGTTCCCAGGACCAGTTTTCTATTCTTTTTTCTCCCTCTCCGGCCCCCCCCCCCCCCGCCCACCTGACTGTATAAAGTTTCAATTAGGAAAGTTCGGTGACGTTGAAAATCTGTCCCGTGGAGTAGCGCCCTGCCGAAATTTGTTTACGACCGAAGGGCCGTAGTTCTTTGTAGACGATCAGCGAAATTATGCATCACTCGTTGCATCGCAAAGTACCCACCGATTCACAAGGGAGGACCCTCGCGAAAACTGAATTTACAGTTTGTTCGACCACGCCACTTGCGCGTTTCGTCGTCGTGAGCCGTAATTTGCAAGTCGGTGGCCGTGGATTTTCTCTTCTTCGATGAATCTCCGAAAAAGCGTTACGGAAATTTCAATGTTTAATTTTGTGAAAATTAAATGGTTCACACGGAATCGAAGAAAAGACGGTTCAGGTACTTCCTTCAGGACCAAACTTGTGTCCAATGCAACAGCAAAGTAATAGTAAGACTTCTGGCCATGTTAGATTAGCGAAAAGCAGAGTTCTAGAGATTATACCGTGTTTTATTATCCAATTAACTGCTTTGTCGTAGGAAAGCAGCGTTGGTGAGAGAATGCACCTAATCCTTCGCACGGTAATCGTGTATCGATTTCCGCAATGAGTCGTTCTTGTTGATCTTTGTACGTGTCGATTGGCTCGAAGATAACGAACAAAGAAGCGGAGTAATTTGTGATCTCATCGAAGCATTTACTTTCTCCGTATAGTCACGATTATTTGAAGTGATTACAAACGGTCTCTTTTTAAAATGTTGGAATACTTTAAACTATCGAATACCTTGGTGTACCGAATATCAATATACATATAGTATTATATACATAGTATTCAACCGGACTACTCGATGAAATTTACTGATAGATAATTGATCCGCTAGTCAACAAACGAGGAGACCAACGTACGATAATAGTCGGTGTTAGTGGTCAATGATTAACGAGCATGGATCGTTTTCGTAGTCTATTTACGCACGAGTACTTTTGCTTTCTATTAAATCGGATTATTTACAGCCCGGATTCAGATAACAACGTTAACCGTAATCGCTGATTTAAACAATTTTCAATCGTGCATTTGTCGGGTGGAAAGCTTCTGGAATTAGCCTGATAAAATTTTGTCGCGATATCTGTAGGTGCGCGGTTTCTTCGACGAGACGTTACGCGGTTCATTAAATTTCGGTTGTTTCACGATTGTACACGGGGCAGTAGGATCCAGCCCGAAATTCGCGTTCTCGTGAATTGATACACGCTGTCGTCGGGATGTAAATCGCGGATCGTAATCGATATTCGGGTACATTTTAGACGTTCAGCAACAACAGTTTGGTTTTATGAGAAGCCTATCATCTTCTTATCATTCCTTTCATATCGTTCAATTAACGCGATTCTCGTGGCGGTGCTTCCAAACCACCAGTGTATTTCATTCCTCGTCGTGAAAGGCGAGACGGGATTGGATCCTAATAGAATCATGGTGGTTCGTTGAGATTAATTCGCTTGAATTTGCAAGTTCGGACTAGAAAATATTTCCAAAGGTGTCTCGAAGCGTGTCTCGACTGTGAAAATTAAATGCTCGTCGAGGATTCGAGGGTAGTTTTTACGTAATAACGTACGATCTAATCGACGGATCGACTTCTACGGGAGAGTGCTGTTTACCAGAGAGAAAGCCTGAAGCAAACTTCCCGCTTATTAGTCGAGCAAGGTGTACGGGTTTCACGAGGACATTGAGAGCGAGTGCTCCAATTAAGGAACTGGCGCGTCGATACCCCGAAGCCGTCTCACGTGAAAAGAACAATCGTCCAAAGTTTTTATTTCATAATCGAAAATTGAACGACTTTTTCGTCGAAAATCGATATATCTTAACTTTTAACCGTCGTCATTTTGTCACGAATTAATTTTTCAAAAATCCCACCCGATAAAGACTAAATAAACTAATATGCTATCAAAAAGTTAATTAGCTCCGAGTAGTAGTGGTTACCGCGAAATGCTTCCTTAAAAGAGCCTTCGGGATCATCGAATGTATCTATCAAAATTTTCACTATTTCTCTATGAAAAAATTACTCGAGCCTCGTCGAAATATGCCTACCGCGATAGACAAACCTTTGTAAAATAAAACTCGAAAGTTTCTCTTAAACAAAATTCTCAAATGTGTGTTTTGAATTCTCCTAGATAGACACAACTCCTTGAATCCTCCAGAGGTCTCAATGACAAGGATTCTGAATGCTCGATTAAAAATCGAATAGACGAGGTATAATAATCGTATGCATTTTAAAGAAAAAAAATGTTCTCGAAGCACACGCGGCCGACGAATTAGCACGGCTCACGAGACGGCGAGGGGCGCGGCGACGACGTTATTGCCGCATGAAACAAATAACAGTGCACGGACAGCCGGTGGCAATTGGAGCATTTAGTTCGTAATGGGTTATCATCGTGCGCCCCTACCTCTCAGCGACTTTCCGGCCGTCTCGAACTCCGTGAGGATTGGAGGGAGCCGGAGTATGAGCTTGAAATGATTGGTCAGTTCGTGTGCGTACGTAATTTTTTCAGTGGCGCCGAGTTTCCGTATAAAACAGCCGGCAATTCGAAGTTGCAACAGACCGAACGAAGAGTTTCGTTGAATTCACGACGACCACGGTACGCTCTACCACGCGCGGTTAACGAGTTCTTTTCCATTCTTTTCGTACGAGTTCCGCCTTAGTGCGACACTTACGACCGGTTCGATCGGGCCAATTAACGTATCGATTAGGCTGACTGAACAATGCCTTTCGAGGAACACGATGCTGTTAACAGCAACAACCATTACCAGCCGCTCAAGCGACCCACGGATAATGAATTCCTTCACACCACCGTCAAGCATCTACGGCACAGCACGTAAGTTCAATTGCCGCCAACTCGAAACTCACTCGCGATACTGCTGGCTACGAATCAGAGTCGGTCAGCTTCGTGTATTATTTTTCTGGTAATCCATAGATGGTAAATTCATAGATTTGTCAATAATTTTGTTTGTCTATATTCATGAAAATGGTCTATACCCAACATTGATTCCGGAGGGTAGTATGTCCGTGCGTAGAATAGGTCTTATGTTTCCTCTAGAATAAGAGTATGAATGAAAATGATACATACGGATTATATAATTATGTTTCGTAGCATGACTCGGACTCGATGACGTCGGAAAGCATTGAGACGGAATGACAATATTTATCTAGAACTATCGTTATCGAAGAAATAAATCTTGTTGAGAAAACCATCGTCGCGATTTTGCGTTATTTTGGTATAATTGCTGTTTCAACAACGAACTTTCACCAGAACAGGACCGAACAGTGTTCGATGAAATTCATCGAAACGGCTATTCATTCGCAGTTGATCGCTTTCCTGCGGACCCGTTAACGTCGAAAGAGTTTGGCGTTACTTGCATACTGGCCACTTGAAACAAGCGTTACCGAACTCTCGGGTAATAAACAACACGGAAATGATAACCGGATACATATTACGCACTCTCCGGAGTGTTCATGAAATTTCCAAACGCAACTAATTATCCGAGTCTTCTCTGGCTCTCCTTTGTACTTCATTTTCGTGCGTTATTCCCGCGTTTCTGTATCGAGTTGCCTGGCTAACTGCGAAAGTTAATGGTCTACTATCGAGTTATCACGCGTGTAACGATATTCACGACCCACAAGTTTCGTCCAAGTCGAATGGAAGTACTCGGAACTTTTCGAATTCTCGATCATTGCGAATACTGTATTATCGAAGCATCGTTAAGAAAGTCAAAGCAGACAAAAGCGAATTAATTATAATGATTAATTATTTGATAAAACTCTGTTGGTCCCCAGAGAAAATGCGTGAATGAAATAAAAGCAGGATAACGAAACGATGTGTATAAACACGACCACTGGACAATAACAAACGCTAACGTCTCTGTGACCCAACAACGATAGGGGGAGAAAGAAGCGACATGACCGCCGGTTTATCATCGCCTGTCGACCAATTTCTTTGCTGTTTCGTAATCCATTATATCACTACATCATTATCACCAACGACGCTCCGGGAGTTGATTCGAGGCGACAAATGCATCGATTTGTCGCCAAGACGAGCGCGATATTTTATCGCCCTTTGTTGTCATCAAAGTGAACTAGAAGGTCGTTTCAATCCTACGAGAAGACTATATTAATCGTTGAATTCGATCGACGCGGATTTCTCGAGAACGACGTACGTGGAGTGCCTTACGAATACATCGAATGATTGGTCTATTAATTGCTACATAACTGGGATTCGCGTTTACGATACTTTGCAGATAATCTTATGTATAACGAAGCAACGTGCCATTATCGATATTATAGGGTTTTCCGGTTAGATCGTTATTTTGAAACACAGTACATCGCGAGGCGTTTTTTTTTTCGCGCGGAGTAATCGTAGCCACGAGATGCTGCGAAAATTGCGGCGTAAATCAAACGCACAGAAGAGTTTCTGATTTAATTACGATTCCCCGCGTTCGCTCTATCGATCGTCTTTTTATGTCGGTGTTACACACCCCATTTCGTTTGCCTGGGATGAATTTTTACCCGATACATTTAATATTTACCGCGCACTTCGCTTCGACTCTGCTCCCCTCCCCCCCCCCCTCCCTCCGCACCTCTCGCCGCCCCTGGTCTACCGTTCGCACTCGAATCGGCGCATAGAAATCCGAGTGACATTAAACTTTTTGCAAGAACGGAGAAACTTTCGCTTCAAACGTGCGGCGCTCGATATTCTCCCGTACCCCGGAGACTTTCTGCCAGGGCTCTTATCCACTTCGCGAAACGCGCGATGAGAAAATGGGACGCATACCTGAAAGCAGTACTTCATTCAGCCGGTCGAATCGAAACGTCGCCGTTTAGTGGCGGAAATTTTCATTTTTTAGTTATACCTAACGAGTACATTTACCATGTTAAAAATGAAAACAGAAATGGACACGTTAGATTAAAAAATCAGTTATTACCATCTTTAACGCTCATTTTTACCTATTCCGTTTTTCGCAAGGTTTTACACAAATCGTTTATATTATTCGTCAACTTATGCAAGTTTCTGAATTAATTTTAGTAAATCGGTATCGCTTATTAAGGCATTACATCAATAATAGAAATCTGATAAGAAATGTCCGAAACCTAGTGCTAAGAATCCACGTTATTCGTTTCTTTTAGGAAAGGTTCACCGCTCTTGTCGCACGAGAGTAAAACGTTAATCGCAAAGGGCGTTTATCGAAATACATTAAAACAAACAATACTAAGACAAAACAAAACGAGACATCTTCCCACGGAATCTTTCTTTCTCCGAGTAAAATTTTGTTCGGAATAAAATGCCACGAAGTTGCGCATCGATCCGATAATAACCTCGCGCGATAGCGCGATCCAGAGTTTTTCGAGGACTTTGGAGCGAAAAGAAGTCGGAGGGAAGTCGTGATGCAGGATATCTTGGACGTGAAGAACGCCTCGACCTTTTCCACGGAAAACGCGAAACGTTTCGAGTGTCTCTTGATGCGCCGTTTCGTATCGGTGAATCGTTGCAGTAACAGCGACACGAAGTGTCACGGAACGATTAAATCCGAAGAAGGGGACGCTCCCAAGCGTTTGGACCGCTGCGTGCATTCGCATTCGAGATTAGAGCCGCCGATATTCTAGCCAGATTCGCGGAGACCGTCATTGAATCCTCGCGATGCCTCGGAGCGATGCGCATTCACGTCGTTATAATAATCGTCGACCTCGCATTTGCCATTCATAACGGAGACCGTACAATCCCGTTTTACGATGGAGCATCCGCGAATGCGGTTGGTCTAATGACGTTTGGCATACCCGCGGCTATATCAAAGCTTCTCCGCGAGACGCTCGCCCGAACCGATTCTCAGACGCGCGTCTGAAAGCGACGCGGTTCGGACTGACTGGATCGGCGACGGGAAAGCATATTCAAACGTACTCGATGGAGTCATTGTTCGACGTCTCTTAGGATACGATTCAGAGATCGTTCTTCTCTCCGACACCTCTCCTTTCCGAGTGTGTTCCAAACGAATCGACAAAGTCGTCCGTGGATCGCGACCTAGGATCGAGAAATTGTCGATGAAATCTGTTTTTTCGGACCGAGCGAAACGGGAACTATCGAAACAATACGATACCGATGGAGGAAATCAATGTGCGGGCATGGAGGGTTCGAGTGAAATATGTATAGAAGCGTAAGTAATTCTCGATTACGTCACACGTAGCATTACGCCCCAGGGTTAGCTTATTCGCTCAGATGCATGGAAACTCCGCGTATGCATCTGTGCGTAGAGCCGGTCTCTGAGCGAGCGAGCAAGCGCATTCTGCATTCGTGCACGCGTGACTGCATACGCGGTAGATGAGTTGCGCCACGGGACGTGCGCGCGTATTTCGATGCATGATTTGTGATACCTCTGAATCCTACGGTTCGGCTTAAATCCGCTATTTGAGTCTGTTAGTAGTTTAACAGGTAACTGCACCGTTTTGTGGCAGTTTCACGGTGGAATTATGTTGACGGGCCGATCGCACAGAACCGCGAGTTCCTGCGTCATTGACGCAATTTATAATTTTAACAAGTTACAAAATTCAATGCTACGACAAATGTTAAATTATCCAATCTTCGACAGTCTCGAGAAAAAATGTTAACTTGGGCGTGTTTTAATCTGGCAGCCGACGTGTTAAAGAAGATATGCGTTCGATCGATCATTTCAACGAGATCGAATCAACCTTCCCTTATCGGAGGAATGTATCAACAATGGCTTTATTCGTTATATATGTCACTTTTTTCAGATACTCGTTCGAGACTCTGCAGGAATCGGCGCAGTACCTTCTAGATCGCGTCAAAATTAGACCAAAAATTGGAATAATATGCGGCTCGGGAATAGGTTCGTGATTTTTGTACTATCAACCGCTTCGGTGGACTGCACGTTTTTTTACGTGATGTAATAGTTGGTGTGGGGGCTTGGCGCTTATTGTCCGAGTGAATGTTTTGTCTATTTTCGAATAGGATCAAATGAGCAAAGCGAGTTGTGTCCAGGTTCTCTAGCGGACGCCCTCGAGGACAAGCAGTTCTTCCCTTACGAGGAAATCCCACATTTCCCTACATCCACTGTCAAGGGTCATACGGGTCAGATGGTCTTTGGCTATCTCCAGGGTACGCCGATCATGTGTATGCAGGGGAGGTTTCATTATTACGAAGGCTATCCTCTCTGGAAGGTACGCACGCAGCGATTGCGAACTTCTTTTTTAAATATACCAGCGAAAACGAAGTATAAATATCCTTATCGCATGGACGTAAGGTAAGATTTATCTATATTTCTGTCTTTAATCATATCATAATCTTATTATCAATGAAAACTGATCGCATCGTCTTTCGTTAACACTAAATCTACCGATGCGACGTTTTATTTGTACCTACTTTTATCGCGATCAGACAAATAGTTAGTTTCAACCCTTTAACCTATAAGAAGCAAGGAATTTTATATCCGATTATGCTATTCACGATCCTATAGTAAATCGTATGTAAGAACTATATACAAAAGTTTGTAAACGGTCATTTGATCTGTCACGATAGGTTTAGTGTTAATTTATACTTCATGGGTAAGATACAAAATTTGCTCAGTCCGTGTATTGAATTTTTATCGAAACACCAAGTTACTTACATATTGTTCTCTCTTTTTCACGTCCAGTGCTCGATGCCGGTAAGAGTTATGAAGCTCGTGGGCGTGACCCATTTGATTGCGACAAACGCGGCAGGAGGTCTAAATCCTACGTACAAGGTTGGCGACATTATGATGGTGAAGGATCACGTGAACATGATGGGTTTTGCGGGGAATAATCCACTCCAAGGACCCAACGATGACAGGTACCTTTCTTCTTGCTCCTGTGTGTTATAAAACAGTTCTCCCTTTACCTCGTCGGCGTCACCCATCGAACGCTCCTCGAGAAAAGATTAACGAAACTTTATTCAATTTATTTGTTCATCCTTCTTCTCAACCTATTTTCTTTCCTTTCGTTTCACCATGCTCATACCATAGAAGCGCAAAGCGATGAAAGCGTTGCTTCGACCAGGTGGAAATTAGCGTAACGTCGAAGCTTCGATAACGTCGAAGCAAGGAACAGAAGGGAGTATTCGAGTGCGACGGATCGAAAGAGGGTAAAAAAAGAAGGAAGGAAAACGAATCGGTCGCGAGATTCACGGGCGTGAACGGCAATGAATTCGAATCCGCTTCCACTCGACAAAGGCTTTCGAGCTCGTTTCCGGAAGGAAAGTCGTCGACGGCGTCCGCTCGCGAATCGCGAAGCTCGACGACGCCGACGTTCCGAGAGAGTTAGCCCCGAAGACAAGGGTGGAACTGCACGGGTTCGTTGGAGCCGCGGAACGAATAAAATAAATCTATTCCATCGGTACAACCCCTTGAATCGGATTGATGAACTATTTACTCGACGGCATAAAGAATCTGATTGACGTATTTACGCAAGAATTTCCCTCCAGCTTTTCGCTTTTTTCTTTTCTTTTCTTTTTTTTTTTTTCGTTCTTCCGTATCTGCTATCCCGTTTCGTTCGTTTTCAGTCGGGCTTTCGTTGACCTTTTATCTGGCAACCCGCAAAAGTTGGCTTCTTGATTGTCCTCGTCCTGTCTCCTCTTTTATCGTTAACAACCCTCGATAATAACACAGTTACGTCTGACGTTTTCCCGGAAGGATTCAGAGTTTCACTTGGACAAAGTTTTCGAGCGTTTTGTTACTCTGTTTTTATACTAGGCGCGTTAGGGTAGAATCCTTCTTGAAAGAAGGATCATTTACGGGAGCCTTTTGGCATGTTGTCTTTCAGATTCGGTCCTAGGTTTCCACCGATGAACAAAGCCTACAATAACACGCTCCTAGACATAGGCCAACAAGTAGCAACGGAGATGGGTATCGACGATATCGTGCATAAAGGCGTGTATACGTGCCTGGGCGGACCGAATTTCGAGACCGTGGCGGAATTGAAGATGTTGAGGATGGTCGGCGTCGACGCTGTCGGTCAGTACGAAAAACTCGTCGTATTGCGAAATATACCATATTATGTACGAAAATATTGTCTGATACAGGGACATTACATCTATGGGACCCTGAATTCGACTTTTTCGCCTAAAGTAAATTCTCCGTAGCTTCTAATCGGTTTTCTACCAATTCTTGTACGAATGAATAAATTCCACGATGTAAAGGATTGAAAAGCCTATGAATAGGCTTATATCTAACTATATTTTAAGGTATGTCCACCGTCCACGAAGTGATCACCGCCAGACACTGCGACTTGACCGTATTCGCCTTCAGCTTGATCACGAATCAATGCATCATGGAGTACGAGGATCACAAGGAAACGAATCACGAGGAGGTGATGGATGTGGGAAAGCTGAGGCAATCGTTGCTCCAGGAGTACGTGTCGCGTATCGTGATACGCCTTCGGGACATGCTGAACTTAGAAACGAAATGATTCGAGCAATTTACCCGTTCGCGTTAAGGAGAACACTTCGCTCGTCGTTCCACGAGACGTTCCTGAAATCGTTCGCATCGCACGGCTGGCTACATCCACCCATTCCCAATGAGGGAACGACGTGGATGAACGTGCACGCGATTCCTGAAGGAACGTTGCCGCAATGACAACGGTAGATCCATCCGACGAATCGCGGGATCCACGAAAGGCGAACGTCTGGAAATTCGAGGAGATGGACGACAAAATTCTTGATCAGCGTTCGCCGATTCGCATCAGCGATAGTTGATTAATTCCCTTCCTTCGCATGGTACCTTCGTCCGTCGTTTATATTGTTTCGTTATCCATTAATTACGTGCAACTGCTGTTAGTATTATTGTAACTACGATTGTTGTAATAATTTATACGCTAAAAGGGTTTGAATTGCCCGCAAATAAATCAACGAATAATCAGTACTGAGTAATCGGTAATGAAAATTAACTCGATTACCCGTGAAAAATGACAACTGATCGCGGATCGCGTACGTAGTCGACGATTAACGATTAATCGGACAACTGCGAGTGATTATTACGAAAGTAATCACTGCCCAACTTCGATTCTCACGCACAACTCGAGGATTATCTTCGATTGCGTTCGGATCACCGTGGCGGGGATAGTATTTCATTTAACGCGCGAACGCCGATGCATTTCTCTCGGGAACTTGCGACTTCCATCCTCTGGGATATTTCTCCCCGCGCAGAAAGAGAGAGGGAGGGGGAAGGGTTGGAAAGGCACCCTGTATCGAGCGATGCCATCAGGTCGCGACCATTTGATATACGTCGCCGTGTCTAGGAGTCCTGGTCGCAAAATCGCTACAAACTATGTAGTTCCGACTATCGTCCCTCAATCCTCCTCTATTCCTTGCATCCGTCTTTTGTCGCGAACGATAAGCGAGATCAAATTAAATCGGTATTCAACGGTATCTCGCTCGACGAAGTCTCCATTTATCAACGGAGCATTCAAAGGTCTTTTTAATTATATCAGCCCGTTTCTCGGACCTTTACGTTTCCTTGCATAAGGTAATTTTGCACGCGTACACGAAGAACGTTCTTCGTCCATAGAATATCTCTGGACCAGTTTATCGGTGCTGCTTTCATGAAATTCTAAGATTTATTCCAACAGTTCCTTACCAGCTTTTCATGCAGCTGCTCGAAAGCTTTACATTTTTTATAAAATTCTTTTACGCGAGGAACAGATCATAGCGGAGATGAGCAACATTTCGACGAAAAACAAAACTAACTCATACGCAAACACTCTTCTGGAATTATAGAGATGTTCGAGTTGGATGTCTGACGTGTGCGTGAAACATCTGATCTCAATTGATTCGTTACACGTCCCTAGAGACCTCCTCGGGTTTAAGAAGAGGGAGCGAGCGGTTAAGGGACGAAGGGGTTGGTCGACGCCTCCTCTCTGCGGCACCCTCGTCGATTTTCCTCTCTCGCTTCGTTACCTTCATCTCGTTTCCGCGCTCTTCCATCGCTAATGCATCGGTGTTCGGCTTCGATAAATCTCGAGCAGCGAGGTACCATACTGCAGCTGGCCCTTTCTCTGTCTTCGTTTCCCGCCGCGGTTGCTCCCTTCGTATTACCATCCTCTTCGATGAAATAGTGACTAGACGTCGGAAAAGAAACTTCCTCCTTCGGCTCGACCCTCTTGAGAAGCTGACGCGTAATTTCACCGCGAGAAGAAGCACGGAAACATCGTTAGGAAATCGTTAATTATGGTTCATTGTTTTGTTTGATTATCGATTAAGACACATGTACAAACAACCTAAATGTAATCTCATTTTGGAACGATAAATTAAGATTTTAGCGATAGGTAATAATAGCAAGGATTCCGAGCAGTGGATCGCTGCCCAACTCTACCACCAAATTTCGAGGTTTATTCATACAATTTCTATAAATTATTCTTCCTTGTAAATAACTCTCTACATACGTGTTTATTTCAGTGACTTTAATAAAAAAAGTCGATTTAACGACGAAACGGGCCAATGTTCGAACGCAGTTGTCGAAATTAATGTTGGATGTGATAGAATCGAATCAATTTTTGTAGACGGCACCGGCGCGAGTAACTGGCCTGAGTTTGATAATCGACTCGCTGAATGTATCGATTAGTGCCACACTTTCCGGAGAAGTCACAAGTATTGAATCCGTGAAGCGACGCGTACATTTCCCGTGGAAAATGTTCCATGACTTGCGATGTAATCGTGGCGGTGTAATCGTGTAATTCGCGGCTCCTCCCTTGCCTTTTGATTGCATTTGTACTCGTTACATTGTCAAAATACACCGCTACATCAAACCACACGTCGAAGCCTAATTAAATCTTCTTTGTTCGACGATAGAGCGGTGAAAGGTTGGATACGTTTTCTATGGGCCAGGCTGACTCGATCAGTTGAGTCGATTTGTTCTTAACCCCAAGTGCCGGGCATGATGCAAAGTATGTATTCGTCGAGGTGCTCAAAAGTTCACGCTCCGATTCACGTATTCATAATTTAACAGCTCGACCTCGATTTCCGTCTGACGAGTGTTGCAGGGTACTCGAAGTCACTCGTACCGACGATCTCTCTGACTTGCCTACCCTCAGGGGCTGTAGCTATATGATTGTAGCTACAGTACGGGATTAGCAACCCCGAGGTACCCGAGCTATAGGGGAGCCGGTGAGCCCCAACATCATCCCTAATGGAGATGTTAGAGAATTACGAAAAGAAACGTGTAAGCGAGGTAATGTAAATCAAGAATTAAATGAACGTAAGGAACGAACAAACGCAAGACTGGTAAGTAGTCGAGTTATACGATTTTTCATTCTTGAAAATAAAACTCACTCGCTCTCTCTGGCTCACCCAAATTAACCATAGAATGGAGCCAGGCGCTACTTCACGAAAAACGACATTACTTGTGAGATGATCGCACGAAAGTAAAGCTTAATGTTAATAATGGAAGAATAGGTAAACTGCAAGCACAAAAATCAAGTCGTAGAGATGCACGAGGTCTTCCGGGCTCACCTCGAATCGGATTCTAACCAGTAAATCTACGTTCGCAACGACACGTGCCATCTTTTGGAATGGGGTAGTTCCTGAACGTCTCCGCAAGACCGGTGCATTTCGATTTGAAAGGGGATACGCTCGGGCACGTTCCGTATGGCATTCACGGAGGGGCGAAACGAAGGCCGACTCGGGGCTTCCCCTGTCCGTATATTTCAACGTTCGAATAGAAACTGTTCGGAGGATCAGTTATTGATATTTTCTGAAACGGCAGATAAAACTTTTTCCCGTGCCGTCTAGCGCGAAGCTGTCGTATATCTTTCGTTTACCGACGCCTCCGGAGGACAGCAATACCATAATCGAGATATGGAAACCGGGATGGGTGGCGAGGGGGTGAGGAGGGATGATGTATACTCGGTCTTCCGTTTCTCGCGGATTATTTCTACGCGATAATGTTCGGGAAGGAAAGAAGTCGGGTACTCCTAAGAGGGAACATCACTGTGATGGGTTAAAAACGTTAAAAACTGGCAAGAACAATGAAGGCCGAAGAATATGTTATTAAAACTTCAGTCGAGGTGTTCTCGAAACGACTTTTTTCAAACTGATGCATGCTATAAAGTTTGGAATGATAATACAGTATAAATACAGTTCAATGTATCCTTAATAACATATTCCTCCTTTTAATCAAAAGATAATTAGTTAATTAAAAGAAAAGAATGATAAAAATTAGCAATTTATCAACCCTTCTGAGTGGTGTTCCCCCTTAAGGGGAAGGATGAGCACAAAATGAAACTCGGGGCGGACGTCTCTGATTATTTCAGAGAATAAGACCGATAACGTAATCCCGTTTTATATCTTTACAAGTTCCTCTCTTTTCAGGGTCTAGACTTTCTTGACGTTCCCGTGAAACGAGACGCTTAACGTGATTGCGTTGCAATACGCCGAACGAGCAAAAACTTTTCGTCCCTACGAATGAAAACGTACAAGAAAGATGGAATAAATGATAGGCCGTTAACGATACGCCCGGGGTATCCTTTTCGCCGTTCGTTTCGTTAGAGGCAAAGCAAAACAGGATGGATATCTTTATGCAATGGGCTTCGCCGTTTCTGCTTTTTATTCGTGCGATAGATTAATGATTACGCTTATCTTCGAGAAAATCGATGAATACTACGAATATTACGAATACTCGAAGCTCCATTTGGCTTTCAAATAAAAATTAATGGCACAAGGAAGCGAATGGCTGTCAAATATTATTTAAAAAAAAAAAAAAAAAGAAACATTTAACACGTTGGTCGCTACGTCATCCAAATATGGGTGACAGTACTTTTCATTGAAAGATTAAAAAAATTCATTCCAAACATTAAGCATCAAAGTGAATTTGAACGAATCACTTGAATCTCGATGAAGTCACAGAAATAAATACCGCGACAAGTGTTTGATTATGCAAAGGAACCTATTCTTCCAACGATGGAAATCGATGTTATTTCGAAACGCAGGAAATATAAAAGTTACGACATGCTCGATACTCGATTTCCCGATAATTACGTTACGTCGTTAGAAAAATGCGTTCAAGACGTATTCGTGTACTTGGATAGCTTCGTACGTGGCCCCTTTTAATTAAATTAGACGTGCGTCGATAAAGGTGAGCGCGTTCGATGCTTCGATACGTGGCCAAGGGTGGCGCCAACGTCGTTCCCACCCCTCGCGTCTCGCAACCAGCGCCGCTTCCCATCGTTCGCGTTAGGTCCATCGGGCCTGACGAGTCGCTAGTCGAGTTAGTACGACTCGTGACGTCGCGGATCGTGGTTGCTTGGTACTTTTGGTGTTCGCGGTGTTTCGTCGGCGATGTGACCGGTCCGGAAAGTGACGTGCGTTTCTTCGTCTACCTTAACGTGCTCCAAAAGGCTAGTAGATTAATCGGTACGCCGGCTGTTCCGAAATTAAAACGTATCTGGACGTGAGCAAACGTGGAACCGTGTCGCGGCGTGCCCCGCGTCCTTCTAAGGATTTGGAGTAGATTCTGAACGTTTCGTTGTCCTCCGTAACAACGTTTCATCGAAACTGGATGCTCGTCGATGTCGTTGCGACGTCTTAACTCTGGCGTCAAGGAATCGTCGCTTCTGGCTTATGGGTGGTTGGTAACCGTGAATCAAGGGACGCGATCGGTCGTGATCGGTGTTTATTCGAGTGAGGATATTGGCGTTAACGGCGCCAGCTGGGTCCTGGGGAGCCAACTAATTAATAGTCCGCGTTACGTTTGACGTGACTGTCATTCGTCCGGAGTCGCTGGACGAAGGACGTGAGAGTTTTCGAAAACACGATAAACGCGTGCCGATTTACGATCGACGCGCGCGCGCGCGTTAGCCAAGAGCGATCGGTAATTGGAGTGTGAAAGAATTCACGTCGATTCCTTACCGGCGAAAGTGAGCTACGTTT